CCCCTGATCATCCTCTCATTCACCCAAGACTCTGATCTCTTTCCTTCTTCTGTCCTCTGGTAGCATCACCAACCATGTGGATGGTCCCTACATTACATGGGCCCCTGGCTCCTCTGATTCTCCTACAACAAGCTCTCTCTCCTCCCAGCCATCACTTCCACGTCATCACCAACATCAGTGCCACTTTTGGAATCATACCTTAAGCATCCCCTCTTGGACCACAACTTCCCTCACCCTGTCCCCACCTATAAGCCTCTTGCTGGCCTCTCTCTCCAGTCCTCAGGGGACCTCCAGCCTCCCAAGCCCACCCCATGTTCACGAACTATCACCTACTCATGCCTTCTTCCTCCTCATTACTGTCACCCTTAACTTCTCCAAGGCTCTCTTCCTCCCTTGACTGACCTGCCAAAGCCCCAACTCTGGCCTAATCTGCCCTTTCCTACTTGTACCCCAAAAGCTGGCGGCGGGTGGGCTGGAGGAGCAAACCATGCTGTTCCAGGGAACAGTTCTGAATCCCTCCCACAGACCTAGTCTCCTGGCAACCTTCTGCTCTCTGGATTTTCCAATGCCTGGCTGACTCCTCTTTCTAGGTCTCTAGAGCTTGGGTGAAGTACTGCTGTTCAGCTGGGTACTGTGACACACACCTGTAATCCCAGTTGAAGCATGAGGATCACAAGATCAAGGCCAGCCTCAGCAGCTTAGGGAGATCCTGTCTCAAAATAAAAAGGGCTTGGCTTTCCACCTCTGATCATGATGTGAGTTGCTTCCCTCCACCACACTCTTCCACCATGATGTTTAGCCTCACCTTGAACCCCAAGGAATGGAGCCGGCCTTCTGTAGACTAAGACCTCCAGAACCTTCCCGGCAGACATGGAAAATAATGCACATTTTTTGGGATGATATAAAATGTCAGAAACTCATTATGGAAGCAATGAAGTATCATTTATTACCAGAGAGACAACCCATGTTACAAAGTCCTCGGACAAAACCTAGGAAATCAACCGTTGGTACATTATTTGCAGTTGGAGGAATGGATTCCACAAAAGGACCAACAAGCACTGAAAAATATGATCTGAGGTGGGCATAGTGGCACACCTGTAATCCCAGCAGCTCAGGAGGCTGAGGCAGGAGGATCGTGGGTTCAAAGCCAGCCTCAGCAACTTAGCAAGGCCCAAAGTAACTCAGTGAGAATTTGTCTCTTAATTAAAAAAAAAAAAAATGCTGGGAATGTGGCTCAGTTGTTGAGCACACCTGAGTTCAAGCCACAGTACCAAAAAGAAAAAAGAAAAATATGATCCGTCTACAAATATGTACAAATATGGACTCCCGTAGCAAATATGAATGGGAGGAAGCTACAGCTCATGTTGCAGTGTTAAATGACAAACTGTACGTGGTTGGAGGGAGAGAGGAACTGAAGAATTTGAATACTCTAGAATGCTACTCTTATGGCCCAGGCTATATGAGCAATGACCAAAAAGACTCCATTTTGCCCTGAGACTCCACGTCATGTGAAAACTACTTCTCCCATGGGAAAGCTCCGCCTCTGTACCCATCAGTAGTTGCTTAGCATAGCATGTTTGGCAACATGAAATGGCAATTCTTCTGCAATGTAAAATTGTTCTCTTTTTGGTTCCTATTTTTCTTGGACAATGTACCATGTCGGAGATTGATGTCTAGATGTTAGTAACCATTCTTTAACTTGTACTCAATTAGGGACGTTTTGACCCACTCTCCCTTCTGCCTATGATTTTAGATCTCATGAATTTTGTTCATGGTTTTGAATCATAGCAACAGCCACTTATGATTTATGTGGTTTTGGATTACAAAAGGTGTACTGAAACCCAGGAAGGGGTCAAAGGGTTTCGACTTGCAGCCTGCCCCTTGGTCCACCGGCTGGTGGATCTGGACTGACTGCCAACTGGTGAATAAAGGTTCTGTTTCCAGTTTTAAGATCGACTCCGTGATTTATTGCAATCTCACCACAACACTACAACCCCAAAACAAAACGTTGGAGAATGATGTCTCCAATGTCCACATGTAGACATGGCATTAGTGTGGCCATGTTGGAAGGCCCCATGTACACAGTAGGTGGGCGCGATCGCTGGAGCTATCTGAACACAGTAGAATGATGGGACCCCCAGGCTTGTCAGTGAAACTTCATTGCCACTATGTCCACCCCAAGAAGCACAGTAGGTGTGGCAGTACTAACTTCATACAGTTGGCAGTCGTGATGAAGTTCTTGTCTCAAACCAGGAGAATGCTTTGATCCTCATATGAATAAATGGACACGGTGTTCACAAATGTCAAAAAGGAGAGGTGGCGTAGGAGCGACAACCTAGAATGGACAGCTATTGGAGAACACTATGCCCCTGCATCTAACTCAACTTCCAGACTCTCCAACTATGTGGACAGATATGATCCCGACACAGACGTGCGGACTGAGGTGGCATCTGTGAGCACATCAGAGGTGCAGTGGGGTGTGTTTACTGGGCAATAAATTATATGCCAATGGGGGATATGAAGGACAGACCTACCTTAACACCGTGGAGGCTTATGATCCCCAGACAAATGAGTGGACCCAGCTTGCTCCACTGTGCCTAGGAAGAGCTGGAGCTTGTGTTGTGAGAGTAAAATTATAATTTGGTGCTTTGTTTTCTAAATGACAATATCCTCTTCCTTTATTAATTTGCTACATTATACTATCAACTATATTATACTATGATACTATTAGTAAATGTGCAATATCATATTCCTGAGCACAGAGTGCCTCATTTCAAGGCGATGATGTTAAAAAAGGAGAGAGCAAGGAGTGGATGGACCAGGATTAAATACTTTCATTTCCTAGATCAAAACTACAACAGGTGAACATATGTCCTGATATGAAATATGAGGAAAAGGTAACTACTCCAAAACAATCCAGAGTTAACCAGAAATTTCATTTATTCATGATTAAGCACATATTACTTACATTATTCAGATTGATTTTATTACAGTGCAAACATCATAAAAAACTTCTAAAATGTTATTTTATACATGGATTGCAGTAATTTTGAGGGGGAAAGGGTACCAGGGGTTGAACTCAGAGGCTCTCAACCACTGATCCACATCCCCTGCTCTATTTTATTTAGACACAGGGTCTCACTGAGTTGCTTAGTGCCTCACCAAGGGTGAGGGTGGTTTTGAACTTGCGATCCTCCCGTCTCAGCCTCCTATGCTGCTGGGATTACAGGCATGCACCACTGTCCCCAGTTTTTACTTCTAGCAATTTTGTTTAATCACAATCACTACTTCTTTCTTTTTTTTTTCCCAAGAAAATAGTTTATTAAAGATATGTGCAGCTGGGTTGTAGCGCATGCTGGTAATGCCAACTATGTGGCTGAGGTTGAAGGATCAAGTACAAAGGGAGTGGATGACATGTCAGGATCATATCTCAAAAAATAAACACAGCCGAGTACATTGATGCACACCTGCAACCCAGCAGCTCAGGAGGCTGAGGCAAGAGGATTGAAAGTTTGATGCCAGCCTCAGCAACTAAGCGAGACCCTAAGCAACTTAGCAAGACCCTATCTCTACATAAAGAATCAAAAGGGTGGGGTTTGTGGCTCAATGGTTAAGCCACCCTGGGTTCAATCCCCAGAACAAAACAAAAAAAAATTAGTTTATTCCAGGCTGGGCGTGGTGGCTCAAGCCTGTGATCCCCAGAGACTCAGGAACTACTGAGGGAAGACTGCAGCAATTCCAGGCCAGCCTGGACAATTTAGCCAGATTCGCCTCTAAAGCGCTGGGGATGTGGCTCAGTGGTTAGTGCCCCTGGTTCAATCCCAGGAACCAAAGCAAAAAGTGATAGCTTCCTATGGAGACATGGAGTCTTCTTCTTGTAGGGCTGGACAGCAGCACAGAAGTGGAGGAAATCCAGAAGTGCTGCAGGTCAAAGGCACACAGGCTGCTAGGATACCTCCTCAAACAGTGCACAATCACTGCTTCTGACATACTGAAGACTATACCATTTAGTTTTTTCAGCTACACTCTATATGCTTTGATTGTAGATTCTACCTCTAAAATTGGCTTAGTCCAATAAATTAAAAGAAAACCACTAAAGCATTAACACAATAATGACCCAATAAAATGATGTGGTCCTTGATCTATTTAAATCTTCATTCCATTACATTTAGATTCATCAAGAATTACATGTAGGGGCTGAGGATATAGCTCAGTTGGTAGAACGCTTGCCTCACATTCACAAAGCTCTGGGTTCAATCCACAGCACCACCACCAGAAAAAAAATAAAAAGAATTCCATGTATGACATTCTTTAATTGAAATTTAAACATGACAGTTTACATTAAACATACGCAAACTTATGTAGAGAAAATAAATATCATATGCCCCATAAAGTTTTCACTAATATTTAATTACATGGATTTGTTTTGTTTTCTTTTCTATTACAATAAATGGTTTGATTTGTCTTTTGATATTGGCAAAATTGGATATTCTTTTGTTCTCAAGTCTCCTGATTTTTCTCTTAGTTTTATCACAGTTAGTAATTCATCATGAGACTTTGTAATCAACCAGTTTGGAGGGAACAGGCTCGTTTAATGTTTAAAAAATAAGTTTAAAGCTTTTGTTACTCAAGCTTTTGTGCATTTCTAAACTCTAACTACATATGTGAAGGTTAATACTCTCCCTGAATTGTTTATTCTTTGCAAAAATGCACGGGGCAGTAACATTTTGTGATATTTCCTATGAGGTATAAGTCATTAATGAATCCATATAAAATGAATCTAAACTAAATTCCCATCTTTCAAAATTAAAAAAAGAAAAAAAAAAGGGGGCTGGCGGGGCTGGGGATGTGGCTCAAGCGGTAATGTGCTCGCCTGGCATGCGCGGGGCGCTGGGTTCGATTCTCAGCACCACATGAAAAATAAAATAAAGGGCTGGGGAGGTGGCTCAAGCGGTAGCGCGCTCACCTGGCATGCATGCGGCCCGGGTTCGATCCTCAGCACCACATACAAACAAAGATGTTGTGTCCGCCAAGAACTAAAAAAATAAATAAATATTTAAAAATTCTCTCTCTCTTTAAAAAAAAAAAATAAATAAAATAAAATAAAGATGTTGGGTCCACCGAAAACTGAAAAATAAATATTTTAAAAAAATTTTTTTTAAAGGGCTGGGGATGTGGCTCGGTGGTAAAAGATCCCTGCATTCAATCCCCAGTACAGAAAAACAATTTTTTTAAGTACTGCTGTTTACAAGCGAACCTCAGATACACCTTTCTCTCTCCTTCTCCCCACCCCTCATCTTACTTGTACCTTGGTGCCAAAGTTTATCTCTGTGGCTCCCAAAACTGAATTCTCAGGCTTGACCCTCTCTCCCAGGCTCCAGACTTCCACTTCGTATCCTTGGCATCCTTCCCAAACATCCAACAGGCATCTCAAACTCGCCCAACCTCAGCCCTGGCCAAAACAGACTTCTTGGTGATTCCTCCCAGCCTCTTCCTCCTCCAGTCTTATGCTCATCAGGGCACCACCATCCACCCAGAGGCTTAAATTAAAAAAAAAAAAAAAAAAAAAAATCTAATGAGTCCCTTCTTTCTCTCACCCCCACATCCAGTGCTTTGTCAAATCCCATTGATTCTGTGTCTCAAACACTTTTTATTCTCATTCTGGTACTGGGGATGGAACCCAGGAGTACTTTACCATTAAGCTACATCCCTAGTGCTTTTTATATATGTAGGTATGTATGTATATACTTTGAGACAGGGCCTCACTAAATTGTCCAGGTTGGCCTGGAATTTGTGATCCTCCTGCCTCGGCCTCCCCGACCACTAGGATGACAAGTGTGCACCACCACATCCACCTAAAACACATCCTGAATTCTTTTCTCTCCTTCTCCATCAGCGCCCGCCTAGTTCAAGCCACCAGCACCCTCACCTGGACCACTGGCCCCTCTGCTTCCCCCATTTCCCATCAGTCAACTAGTGCAGCAACAGACAGAAAAATCCCTGTGAAATGAACATCAGATGAAGTCACCTCCCTTAATACACAAGGGTGAAGGGGAGAGGCTTTCCAAAGATTTTCCACCATGCAGTAAAATCAAACCTTTCCCCTGGCTTTAGGACCTAGTGATTGACCCTGACACTCGGGCCCCACATCTCTTAGCCTCCCCCCGCCCACGCCATTTACTCTGTACCCACCATCTCTGTCCCCACCATACTGCCTTCTCTGTTTCTCAAACACAAAAGCTCTTCCCTATTTCAGAAACTTAAGCAACCCCTGCCCAGAAGGATGTTCCTCCAGGACTTTGCATAACCAGCCACTTCTTCTTTTCAGGTATCTTAAATGCCACCTTCTCCAAGATGCCCTACCTGGCCACCCAATTTGCAGTAGCTATCTAGTGACACTCTGTCCCAGCTCTACATAACTGTCTGATATTTTCTCAGATTTGCTAGGCTATTTCTTTTCCCCACTCACCTGTCTTGGCTTCTTGTGTCACCAGTACCATGGCACTTGGGCTGTGCTCATTCACATTTTAACAAATAAGAAAGGAGGAGTCAGGAGCAGTGGCACACACCTGCATTCCCAGTGACTGGAGAGGAAGAGGAGAAAGGATCCCACATTCAAGGCCAGACTCAGCAATTTGGTGAGATTCTGTGTCTAAAAAATAGGGTTGAGACCCAGGTATCGTGGCAGACGCCTGTAATCTCAGCAGCTTGGGAGGCTGAGGCAAGAGGATTGAGAGTTCAAAGCCAATCTCAGCAAAAGCGAGGCACTAAGCAACTCAGTGAGACCCTGTCTCTGAATAAAATACAAAATGGGGCTGGGGATGTAGCTCAGTGGTCGGGTGCCCCTGAGTTCAATCCCCAGTACCTAAAAAAAAAAAAATATATATATATATATATATATATATATATATATATATATATATGTGTGTGTGTGTGTGTGTGTGTGTGTATGTATATATATGTAAGTGTGTATATATAGATATATGTGTATATATATATACACATATATGGCAGGGGTTGTAGCTTAGAGGTAGAGCTGCTTGCCTAGCATGTGTGAGGCCCTGGGTTCGATTCTCAGCACCTCATGTAAATAAATATATAAAGGTTATAGACAACTAAAAAAAATGTTCTAAAAAATTAAAAAAATAGGGCTGGGATTGTGGCTCAGTGGCAGAGCGCTTGCCTCGCCTGTGTGAGGCACTGGGTTCAATCCTCAGCACTACATAAAAATAAATAAAAAATAAAGGTATTGTGTCCATCTACAACTAAAAAAAATATTTTAAAAAAATGAAAAGGGCTGGGGATGTGGCTCAAGTGGTAGAGTGCATGCCTAGCATGCGTGAGGCACTGGGTTCGATTCTCAGCACCTCATAAAAATAAAATGAAGATATTGTGTCCACCTAAAACTAAAAAATAAATATTTTTTAAAAAAATTTTAAATAGGGCTGGGGTTGTAGCTCAGCAGTGGCGCACTCGCCTAGCATGTGTGAGGCACTGGGTTCGATCCCCAGCACCACATTAAAAAAATAAACATGATAAAGGTATTGTGTCCACCTACAACTAAAAAAAATTTTTTTTTAATTTTAAATGGGCTGGTGATATACCTCAGTTGTTAGAGTGCTTGCCTCTCATGCACAAGGCGCCCCATCACCATAGGAAAAAAATTAAAAATATAAGTAAATAAAAAGAGCTGGGGATGTAGCTCATTGTTCGAGAACCCCTAGATATATTGTGTCCAACAACAACTAAAAAATAAATGTTTAAAAAAATAATGAATGGGCTGGGGATGTGGCTCAAGCGGTAGCGCGCTCACCTGGCATGCGTGCGGCCCGGGTTCGATCCTCAGCACCACACACAAACAAAGATGTTGTGTCTGCCGAAAAAACTAAAAAACAAATATTGAAATTCTCATTCTCTCTCATTCTCTCTCTCTCTCTCTCTCTCTCTCTCTCTCTCTCTCTCTCTCTCTCTCTCTCTTTAAAAAAAATAATAATGAATGAAAAAAAGGAATAAATTGTGGTGTGATTGCGCAGAGCTTTGCAGCTCTTTGAGCCCTCTGGATGAAATGAGAAGATATGAAAGACTGCTTCTGAGGATCTGCCTGAGGCAAGTCAGTACTATGATGGCCAGTGACCACCAGGTGTCGCCAAAGACCAAGGAGAAAACTTCACTAAGCCATCCTTCCTGGGCAGAGCCTTCTGGCTTCCTAGAGAGGCTCAAAAAATTGGAATAAACGTGAAGCCTTGGGGGGCAATCCTGAAGTGATGGGTCACCAATTATCCAGTTATCCAGAGCCAGAGCTTGGACCCTAGGCTGTTGCTGGACCTGTGTTCTCATCTACCCACTAGATGCACTCTTATTACCCAGGTTCCTCTACCTCAGACCCTTCCACCCCTTGGTGGGAGGAAGTAGTATGGGAAAGGGGAAGAGGTGCCACTTTCCTCCAGCTTCTGCTCTCAGGGATCATTCCCCTGGGGCAGGGGTATGTCTGTCCCTCGGTGTGCTCCTGGTGCCCTCGCGTCCAACGAAACCGGCTTGTTAACAGGGAGACAGCTATGCTCGCATGAGGTGATAACAATCATATTCCACAGAATTCATCTTCTGAGGTTGGGAGCTCCCAGAAGAGGAGGAAATGTATTTCCCTAAACAAACATAAAACCATTATTAGCTCAGGGTCCAACAAGAATCCACTGGCCAGGCTACCAGCAGGCCAGAGTTTGCAGAACCCTAGTTTAGAGGAAGGAAAACCTCATGATAAACCACTTGGAGACTCAGGTATTATTTCAGAGAGGAGCTACAAGGAAGGGCCTTGACTTACCAGGGTCATCTCTTTTCTTCCTTCATGGAAAACATATACTCTTGCATTTTCATGCAGGCACATACATGTGCTGTGGTCAACAGGCTCCTGTGCCTCAGTGTAAGGAAGAAATCTCTGATTCTGAGAGCCTGGGACCCCATATCTTTAGTAAGAATGGATTTTACTGCAATAAGAATGAATTTTACACTTCAGGTAGGGCAGAGACTAAAGGTAGGATAAAGAGATACAGCCTGGCAATGTTAAGGAAAATGAGACTGAAAGAGTTTGCCAAGTGGATTTCTGGAGACAACTGACCTAGAGACTTTAGGGCTGTTTTTGAGGTTGAACCAGAGCCTGGACTTGTAAGTGGTGATTTTTTTTTTTTTTAATATGTGATGCTTTAATAAAATGACCCAGATGCTAATTATATCCACAGTTGTGTCCTGAGCTATTCATCATAGAGGACTTCTCTCTGATTCAGCTGTTCTGAACCCTTTCTCTACTTCTGTCCCCACATGCACAGAAACTTTGTCTTTACATGTGATCTAAGATAAACCTAGAATCCTAGGCCCTGTGAAGATTTATGGATACAACCAAATCCTCAGGTGAGCATGAATCATGGGCAAGGAAGCAAATGAGAGGAAGACAGAGGACAAGGGACAGTGGTCTGCGGGAGTCAGGCGTGGATAGTTGGGCACAGAGCCCAAGAGGCAGAGTGACTCAGGAAGGGGACACTCAAAACCAATGGAAGGGGCTAGCACCCCTTTACCTGCCAGCACTGTTGGCCTTCACCACAGAGACTCATAGGAGGCCACAGCATGGTCTGGCCCAAGTAGATGGATGCCAGTCTACATCAGCCCAGTGCCGCCAAGCATCAGCTGTGGATGGTGGTACACACCTGTAATTATCAATCAAAAAGCATGGCATTTTTTGCTGAGCAAGATGGTGCACACCTGTAACCCCAGCTACTTGGGAGGCTGAGGCAGGAGGATCACAAGTGTCAGGTCAGCCTCAGCAACTTACCAAGGCCCTGTCTTAAAAAAGAAAATGTTGGGAATGTGGTTCAGTGGTCGAGTGCCCCCCGGGTTCAATCTCCAATATCCCCACAGACACAAAGAATGACATTTTCTTGACTTCAAGTGACTTTGCTGATGGGCATGGGAAGGGGCCTTGATTCTTTCTGGCCGAGGAGACACCGAATTCTCAGAAAGGAAATGGTCCATTGCAATTCCTGAGATCCCCAAGTGCAGCCCAGTCTCTCCACCCACTTTGTCCACAGGATTCCCTTCAGCTTCCCTCTCTTCTTTCTCCCCCAGGCTCCTGGCCACCTCACTACATCCATTGTTGATTTGGTCAAAGTTCTCCCAGAGGAACTTTTTGCAAATAGGTACATACATGTGCCTGTGGTACATGAACATCCCTGTGCATGGAAAAATGGTGTGGATAGACCATTGTGTGAGCCTGTGTGTATGGTCTGGAAACTACCGAGATACAGCTTTGGGGACTGTTTTAGAGGCTGAACCAGAGCATAGACTGGTAAGTGATGATTTTTAAAACATGATGCTTTAATAAAAGGATCCATATGCTAATTATGTCCACAGTTCTGTCCAGAGCTATTAATTATAAAGGGCTTCTCTGACTCAGCTCTTCTGAACTAGATAAAAGAGTAGCATCAGTGAGCTCTGCTTTCCCAACCCTCCAAGGCCAGACTTAGCTGCCCTGGGTTCCCCTGTGTTGATAGCTGATTGGAGCAGCAGAGCCCTCCCTGCCCCACCAAGAAAACAAGAGGCCTGCCATGCTTCTTAGAGAAAGCCAGGAGGAACAGCCATGAGCAGCGCCCCCTTGTGCTCACTCCACAGAATACTTGACTTGGGGATGAATGACACCTGCCCCCAGGAGTGAGGCTGGTATCTTTTTTTTTTTTTTTTTTTTTTTTTTTTGTGGTGCTGGAAATTGAACCCAGGGCTTTGTGCATGAGAGGCAAGCACTCTACCAACTGAGCTATATCTCCAGTCCCAAGGCTGTTTGTGATTGTTTTTTCATTTTCCTAACTTTTCATTGTGATAATTTTCAAACATTAAAAAGTCAAAAATCAATACAAGAATCACCTGTAAATTCCAGAGACTCAGGAGGCTGAGGCAAGAAGATCACAAGTTTGAGACAACCTGGGTGACACATAGTGAGACCCTGTCTCAAAATAAAATGGAAATAACTGGGTATATAGCTCAGTGGTAAAACATCCCTCAGTTTAATCTCCAATACCACCAAAAAAAAAAAAAAAAATCACCTGTTTATCCCCACCATCCAAATTCAATAACTGTTAACAAGTTACCATATTTGCTCTCTCTAATGTGTGTATGGACATGCCTTCTCCTCTTCTGTCTTATCAAATTTTCCTCTGCCTCTCTCTTATAAGGACACTTGTGGTTGCATTTAGAGCCACCTGGATAATCCTGAATAATCTCTCTATCTCCAGATTCTTAACTTAATTGCATTTGCAACCACCCTTTTGCCTTATAGAATGACATTTGCAGATTTTAGAGATTATGGTAAACATAACCACCCCTCAGATCAAGATAAAATGGATTCCCAACTTCCCCAAAAGTCTCCCATATCCCAAGTAACTGCACCATAAATTAAATTTGCCTTTTTTTTTTCTTTTAATTTTGGTGGGGTTTTTTTCCCCCTCTTTCTGAGTATCACACAATATGGCATATGGGATATGTCTACATAAAAAACACACTATATATATATATTTCTCTCAACATAATATCTGTTCTATGTATCAGTAGGTATCATGTTATTGTAGGGATCGATAGTTTTCTTTCTCTATCTCTCTCTTTTTTACTTCTGAGTAATACTTCAAGATGTGAATGGTGTTTAGCCCAGCACAGTGACACATGCCTACAATTCTAGCAACTCAGGAGACTGAGGCAGGAGGATCCCAAGTTTGAGGCCAGCCTCAGCAACATAGCCAGACCCTGTATCAAAATTTAAAAAATAAAATAAAAAGGGCTGAGGATGTAGCTCAGTGGTAAAGCACCCCTGGGTTCAATCTTCAGTACCAAAAAATAAAAATTAAATTAAAAAATAAAAGAAAGAACAAGGCACAGTGGCACACACCTGTAATCCCAGAGACTTGGGAGGTTGAGGCAAGAGGATTGCAAGTTCAAAGCCAGCCTCAGCAATTTAACAAGGCCAGAAGCAAATTCATGAGATCCTGTCTCAAAATTTAAAAATAAAAAGGGCTAGGGATGTAGCAGAGTATTTAAGTGCCTATGGGTTCAATCCCTGGTACCAAAATAAACAAATAAATATGAATAACATTTTAGTCTATTTGCCCTGCTATAACAGAATACCTGACACTGTGTAATTTATAAACAAGAGAAATTTATTTTTCACAGTTCTGGAGGTTGGGAAGGCCAAAACAAGCAGAAGACATCTAGTATGGGGCCTACTTGCTAAAGCCTTACATGGTGAATGATAAATGGGCAATCAGGGATGAACACTGTGTCCTCACTTGGCAGAAGAGTTATAAAGACACAACCACTTTACAAACCCTTAAACAGTGGCGCTAATATATTCATTAAGGGATGGTTGTGTGGCTCAGTGGTAGAGCACACTTCCCCAGCATGTGTGAAGGCCAGCACTACCAAAAAAAAAAAAAAAATCTATATCTGAAAAGTGAAATGTCAAAATAGAACCCAAGTGTCTCAAGATAATTTATAAACACAAGACAAATGGAACACACTGGGGATAGGTTGGGGGAACAATAGCGGCAGCAGCAGGCAAGACTGTCTTCATGTTTTTCATGCCCTGAAGGAAAGGGAAACTGAGGTCAAGAGCACATAGAATTGGTGAGTGGCCCCAGCACATCTTAGGGGCTGCTGCAGGGAACCTGGGCCTCTGGAAGATGAAAGGTGACTCTGCACCTCCATCGTTGCAATAGATCCTCAATGCCAGGAAGAGGGCAAGGTGAGCCTGGGCCCCTGAGGAGAGACAGCAGGGGACTCAAACCTCTGCTGGCTTACTTCCTGTGTCCCAAAGGCGACACAATCCAACCTAGGGCAAGGACTAGGAAATATGGGAGAGGAAGGAAGGAACTCTAGGAACATGGTTTGATTTGGGTTGAATTTTGGTGTTTTTCCCCCATCTTTCCCCCATCTTTCTGAATTTCATACAATATGGCATATGGTGTATGTCTACCTAAAACACACTACATACAAATATGTGTGTGTGTGTGTGTGTGTGTGTGTGTGTGTGTGTGTGTATGTATCTTTCTCTCAAAGTGCTTTGGGCCAAGTACTCCCTTCCATTAGCTTCCATTAGCCACACCTGCTGCTGCTGTTATGGCAGAGTGGGGCGTGTTGAAATGAAATGGGGCTGGGGCTCCTTTTTTATTTTGTTTTGTTTGTGTGTTGTGAGAAATAAGGAGGTGCCCCCAAGAAATCAAACATGAGCTTGAAAGTGGGTGTCAAGGCAAACCTTTACTTCCAACACAAGGGTGGGATTCAGAACTTGGGAGGACAGTTGGCTTATTGATATACCTGAGGTAGCCCTGGTCTTCTCCCTGATTGGAGGACTCAGGGGTACAATCTTAGAATGAGGGTGGGCAAAAAGCAAGGACTACTACAATAAGATTCCATTAAGGCTGAATACTGTATTTTGAAAATGGACCAATAGACTTTCTATTTCTCACACCGTATGTTCCTGGGGATTGAACCCAGGAGTGTTTTACCACTGAGCTACACCCTAGCCCTTTTTATTTTATTTTGAAACAGAGTCTTACTAAATTGCCCAGATTGACCTTGAACTTCAGATTCTTCTGCCTTGGTCTCCATAGTTGCTGGGAGCTGGGATTACAGGTGTGTGCCACCATGCCCAGCTTGGGGCTATTTTATTTTTATTTGGGGGGAGGGTACTGGGTATTGAACCCAGGGGTGCTTTACCACTGAGCTCTCCAGCCCTTTTTGTTTTTTATTTTTCAGACAGGGTCTCACTAAATTGCTCAGGCTGCCCTCAAACTTGCAATCCTCATCTCAGCATCCCAATTTGCTAGGATTACAGGTGTGTGTCACTGTGCCTGGCTTTAAGGGCTCCTTTTAAGGGGAGACCTCGCAGTTCCTCTTGTGGGAAAACAGAGGAAAGAGTAGGAGAACAGAGAAGGATCCCCAAACCAACACCTCAGATGGTGATGTCCCCACTGCTAGAGGAGTGAGGATGCAGCAGGAGGCATCGATTGTGACAAAGTGGGACATTAGCTTTGTCCAGGAGGGCAAGAGCATTTGGGTAGAAAATGAAACCCAAGGAACCCTTCCACTCTGGGGCATGAGGCCCCTACAGTGACTAGAATGCCATAGGGGTATGGTGGGGTGCCTGGGAGGAGCTGTCTTTAGATGACCATGTGCACTCTGTTCTCTGGGGTATGTGCTAAGGAGCACAATCCAAGGTTTGTAGAGTGGGCTATGGAGAATTGTAATAGAAACCACCAAAACACTTCCCAACCATGCACTCTCCCTCTCCCCCCACTGCCCTTCTGGGGTGGTCCAGCTGCTCCCAGTCCTCCTGAGACCTGGGTTGTGTGTGTGTGTTGGGGGGGGGGGGGAATGGTGCTAGGGATGTGCATTGGAGGCAAGGACTTTACCAACTGAGCTAAATACCCAGCCCATCCTGAGGGCCTTTGGGGCCAAGTACTCACTTCCATTAGCCACACCTACTGCTGCTGTTAAGTGAAGAGTGCTTTGGCCTGCCTTGGTGGGGGGAACTCACTATGTCAATTGTCCCACACCTCAGGTAGGACAGAACTGTTTTGCCTGCTATAATTTCTTAAGCCTTCAGTAATTTTCATTCTGATTAAAAAAAAAAAAAAAAAAAGTTGGGTGGTTTTAAGTAAACTTTTTTTTTTTTTTTTTTAGGTACCAGGGATTGAACTCAGAGGCACTAGACCACAGAACCACATCCTAGTGAAGACAGATTTAAAGTTAGGTAGTCAGTGTAGTTAGGTAAATCGGGTCTAATATGGAGTAAGATCTAAAATGGAGGCCACGTTGAGAATGAATTCCGGGAAAAGTTGAACAACTCTTGGAATGTTAATGAAAAGCCCTAGGCCCAAAGCCCATCCCAAAGAAGTGTTAATGAACAGCCCCCAGCAAACTTGAAGGTGCTGACTCAGAAGTCCTTCCTGACCAGATTGCTTCTTTGGCCCACCTGTGTCCCACCCCTCGGGCCTTCCCACCTACATTCCATCACTGAAAGAAACTATAAAATGGAGAGACAACCGCACTTCCACGGATTCCATCTCTTGGGACCCCTTCTTCCTCCGAGAGAAGTCTTTTCTGCTGTCCTTTAATAAACTTCTATTTTCCATTCTGACCTTGCCTCGGCGTGCTTCTCTGGTGTTATTCTTCCACATTGAGGAAGCAAGGACTCGTCACCGGTCAACAGCAGTAACACTAGGCCTATTTTTTTCTTTTTTTTTTAAGTGATTTATTCCTTAATGAATATTTAACGCTAGAAAAACTTCTGCTTCTCCTTTTTTGTGTGGGGTGAGTACTGGGGATTGAACTCAGAGGCACTTGACCACTGAGCCGTATTTTGTATTTTATTTAGAGACAGGGTCTCTCTGAGTTGCTTAGGGCCTAGCTTTTGCTAAGGCTGGCTTTGAACTCAGGATCCTCCTGCCTCAGCCTCCCAAGCCACTGGGATTACAGGCGGGCACCACTACACCCAGCTTGTATTTTATTTAGAGACAGGGTCTCACTGAGTTGTTTAGCACTTGCTTTTTGCTGAGGCTGGCTTTGAACTCATGATCCTTCTGCCTTGAAAAACCAGCCTCTACCTCAGAGCAAAGCCTGTCCAAGGAAGGGACATGACCTTTGTCCTTGGAAAGACCCACAGAGCACATCCTGCTAAGTTGTTTATCCACAAATAACAGGAGAGATCTGCTGCGCCAGGTGTCCCTGACTCAGTCAGGTTAGGTGGGGACCCATAGCAACCCCCTAGCAGCCACCAATCAGCATGAGACAGGGATGCCAGATGACCCTCCCAGTAGTTTATGGTGTTGGGAAACTATGTAGTTCAGCATGTACACCCCTCTTGGCTTAAACCAATCGGTTCAAACGAATCCCCCTTTTGTAGTAACCAATCACCCCTACCCAACTTGTTCCCGCCAGTGAATGTGCTAACCATGTTTTAGAGTTGTTATTTGATTTTCCAGCGGTGTGTGATGATTTGCTAAGAGATGCTATGACATACGTATGTGGGGGTCCCTGCCTTCTCCAAAGAATGTATAAAACTGCTGCAAACCCTGGGCCCAGGGCCTCTCAGCGTCACCAGTTGCTGTGTGTTCGCACGGAGGACCGAGCTAGCTCACAATAAACACCTCTTTGCTGTTTACATTGATCTTGGTCTCTGGTGGTCTTTTGGGGGTCCCGAATTCGAGCATAACAGCCTCAGCTTCCTGAGTTATTGTGATCATAGGGGCAAACTAGCTAGTGCGCGCCTGACCTCAGTACTTTTTATATTTTATTTTGAGACAGGGTCTTGCTAAATTGCTTAGGGCCTCCTAAATTGCTGAGGCTGACCTTGCTCAGGATCCTCCTGTCTCAGCCTTCAGATGGAATTACAGGCTTTCCCCACTGTGCTGGCTTTAAGTGGATTTTATCAAGATAAAGCCCTCTGGAAGTTAGATTTGTGCACACAATCATTGTTTCCATCTTGCAAAAAATATTTACCCAGATATTTATTCATTTAGGTATTAAGGATTGGACTCAAGAGTGCTCTACATCTCCAGCCCTTTTAAATTTTTATTTTGACACAGGATCTAGCTAAATTGCTGAGGCTGAGGTTGAAATTTGTGATCTACTTGCCTCAACTTTCTGAATTACTAGGATTACAGGTATGTGCCACCACCACCTGGCCAGATTTTTAAACATTTAGTTTCATAATGATTATCTAATATAGGCTTTTACATATCAAACACTTCTACCCAGAGGGAAACTTTGAATTAAATTTTTCCAATGTGATCTCCCTTTGCAGCAAAATTAGAATAAAAGCATTTATACTGGGGGAGTAGCTCAGTGGCAGAGCACAAGGTTAGCATGTGGGTTCAACCCCTCAAACCCCCACCCATTTTTTTAAAAACTGATGTTCACATCAGCAAGTCTTCTCAAGTCCTCTCTTTCCATCAGTTCTGGGGAGGTGAGTGTTTGGTTGGTGTTTGGTACCCGGGGGATTGAACCCAGGGGCACTTAACCACTGAGCCACATCCCCAGTCCCTTTTCTTTTTTATTTTGAGACAGGGTCTCACTAAATTGCTGAGGCTGGCTTTGAACTTGCAATTCTCCTGCCTCAGCCTTCCGAACCACTGGGATTACAGGCATGCGCCATCCCAGCTTTTCCCATTAGTTTTAAACAAAACCACTTGTACAAGGAAATTGGGTAAGAAAAACCCTAGAGTTATCAATTAAAAAAAAAAAAACTGTGTGTGTATGAGGGTGAAGGAATACCCATAACCACATGGCTTTCTGTTGTTTTAACCTTTCCTGAAAGATTCCGAGGTTCCTTTAACAGCTTCCTGGTACTCCTTTTCTGATGGCCTAACGAGCACCCCGCCCACCCCCTGCCCCACACCCCGCCTGCCTCACGGGCAAAAAGGGGAAGAAAAACTCATAACCCAAGTATTTAGCTGCTGCCTCTGCCAACTGCAGAGCAGAAGCTGACGTAAAGGATCCGAAATCAAAGAAGGTTTGATTTACATAAATCTCATTTTGATAGTATCCTTCTCCCTCGTCTTCCCCCAGCTGGCAGGTGTCCCAAGTCCCGCCCCTCCAGCTGTCCCTAACTCACCTAGGGACCCTGTGGCTGCCAGTTCCCTCCCATCAAAGTCCGATCCACCGCCTTTCAGACGCTCGCTGCGAGTGCAGACTGGTCACCGCCTTCGGGAATACAGTCCTGCAGGAAGTGTCAAGAGCTGTAAACCGTTCACACGATCACACCCACTGGGGACAGTACAGGCCGAGCTGGAACCGGCCACCCGGGAACCAGCGCTCTGGGCTTCAAGATCCAGGTTCTTCAAGGTCCAGGTTCGAGCATCAAGCCGGTGGGTCCAGATCGCTAACCTCCAAATTCCTGGAATGTGGCCCTGAAGGGTCTGCCCAACACCCCGCGGCGCCCAGTGAGAGCACAGGAATTGTCCCAGGGCCTGGGGAGGGTAGTACAGGACTTTCTCTCTCTCCCATCTGCTTTCTTTGTCATTCTAATTAACGGCTGGGGACACCTTTTGTCAACTGTAGAGAATTATGCAAATGAATGAGGTTGGTATTGTTATGACTAAGAGGCGATTGGTTTCAAAATCACTTGAATATTCCACCATCAAATCCTGTCTGTTCCGCACCGGGTTGGGGGTGGGGGGGGAGCTCTCCCTAGAGTTTGCCTTTTCCCCTCCCCGTGTGAATTGCCGGGTGGAAACCCAACCACCGAGGCATTCCTGCTCGGAGTGGGTGGTTTGCCAAGCTTCTGGGGCTGCGGCAGAGTTTGAACTTTGAAATCAGACTGGCAGAGGCCCGGATCCTTCCCTGGGTCTTGGTTTACTGTTTACCTTTAGAAAACCACCGGGCTTCTCGGAATTCCACTTTTCTCACCTGTGAGAGGGAAGTGAACAGTGTCATCAGTGTCATGGTGATCATGTGCAGGGCAAAGGTTAAAAAGAATCTAGTGCTCATAATCCTTATGTGCCATTGTCTAAAAAATTACATTGTACAACAAATATACCACTCATTGTAACTTTGAAATAACTTCTAACTTTTTTTCCTTGTTTTGGTACTGGGGATTGAACCCAGGAGTACTTTACCACTGAGCTACATCCCTAGACCCTCCTCCATTTTTTTTTTTTTGGGGGGGGGGGCAAGGTTTTGCTAGATTGCTCTGGGCCTCCCTAAATTGCTGAGGTTGGCCTTCAATTCAGGATCCTCCTGAGTCTCTGGGGTTACAGGTATGAAGCACCACGCTCAACTGAAATATTTATGTTTTCAGAACTCTATTCTTTTCCACTAATGACAATATTAATAATATTAATGATATGATTAATGTTACTAGCTGGGCGCACACTTATAATCCCAGTGGCTGGGGAGGCTGAGGCAGGAGGGTCACAAGTTCAAAGCCAGCCTCAGCAACTTAGTGAGGCCCTAAGCAATTTAGTAAGACCCTGTCTCAAGAAGCAAACCTTGGATCAGCAGGCTTTTCTTTATTCAGTATTTAGCAGTGGGGTCAATTTGTGGAACCCTGGAGTGGCTCATTTTCCAGGCGGAAAATGGCTCAGTGGAAGCAACCATCTGGGTTGTGTAGGCTTCCTTTAGGGTAGGACAGGAATGTGAACAGGGAATTTCCTGGGGCTCACTGTATTGGCATCAGGTGACCCAGTAGCATAGAGGTTCAGGTGCACTCTGGCTGAGGCCTGGGATTTTAAAAGACAAAAGCTTAGGGGAAATGTCCTTGGCTTATTTTCCACATTCACTAGGGATGTGGTTCAGTGGTTAAGCATTCCTGGGTTCAATCCCTGGTACCAAAAAAAAATTAACATTATTAATGATAATAAATTACATAACAAGCTCCTGGTTTTGATTTTCAACCCATTTTAATGTCCCTGTGTCAATTTCATTGAAATATTAGCAGAATTGAAAACTTGAGACTCAAGGGGTTAAGAACCCAAGTCTGCAGGAGAGCATCAAACTGACTGGGCTGTGTGGAACTGGCTAGGGGGAATGAGCAAGGTTATCATGTTTAACAAAAATAAACAGTGTGCAGCTAAATTTGAATTTCACATAAGCAACGTTCATTGTTGTTGAATTTGAAGCCTACTGTGGTGCTCTGGAAATTGAACCCAGGGCCTTATGTTTGCTAAGCATGTGTTGTATTACTGACCTACACCAGCAGTCCCTAATATTTTAGCCTAAGTATAT